TATTGTACTAGATAATGACATACTTGTGCAATTACAATGAGATTGATGTTTCATTACCGAGCTGAATGCAATTAAAAGCTGTATTTTTTATACATTATACCTAGATCGAGAAAATATCGCGTTTGTTTTTGTAAAGCATAAACTGCCTGTGAAATGTTAATAAAAAATGAACATGCGATGGAGGAATATAAAACGAATATTGAGAAAAAAAGTCATATAATTTTTACCGTTTAGTTTGGAAAAGATTCGTGAAAAGAATTCAATTTTCGTAAACATTTGTTAATCCGTCATGTAAATCAAAGGGAGATAGCAATGAGCTGCGTTAGGCTGCGTCTTAACTGCAGTATTCATTTTTTCCGCTTGCGACCATGAACAAGCGCAATGAAAAGTTTTCTCTAGTGAGAGTGTAAATCAGAAGTGAGAATATCGTTAGCGAGCGCGCGAGAAAACTTAACTTTTTGATTATATCGCAAGGGTATTACCTTAAAGATAGGTTCTGATCCAGCCTTTATAGCTTTGTAAGCATTATTTGTGCTTGTTCAATATTTGATGATTAACAAGAATGAAATGATACTAAACATATCGTATAAACGTAAAAACACAATACATAGAACAATCATAATAATAAATCAATTAATGCTAATTTACCCGTTTGCGTCTTCAGAACACAGTCCAATTTTAAGATTGGACGTGCTGACTTGTTTTTATGTATGAGTATCACTTATGTATATGCTGTGACGTCTCGCCACTAGAGGTCCACGGGACTCACTCGGTTCGCGTGAGCATCTCAGTCACACGAATTCTCTTTAAATAGAATATCATTCTGGATTCATTCCAGGCGTCTAAGGCAAGTCCCACACAACTTATTGATGAGTCTAGTAGTGTGGGACCAGAACGAAACGCTGCGGCCGACTACAAAGCTTTGAGTCAGGCCTCCTTAGTGGACATTCCACAATGCTATGTTACGTCCTGACTCCACAGATCTTTTCTTCAACTAGAATTTTCGTCATCACCATAAGGGTTACTAACAAGTAATACCGGTGGTAGACCATCTGTATCTACCATAAGAAGTTACAATTGCTACGAGCCTTTGAAAGAATAACGTTCGCCTTTGTACACTAATAATCCTCCCATTCCGCGTCAGAGACCGCATATGGTCCGGTCCCGAGTTACAAGGACTAAACATTGACTCAAAATTTGGACCGACGCGACGCGACGTTCGCACTGCTCATTGGAAATAGGTGTTATAGCGTCCTTTCAGGACATTGATCTATATTCCAGAGCTATAAAAGATGCGTTCGACTCACTCCATCCCTTTCCCGCGGATGCATGCGAGACAAAGAGTTTGCTCTAACATCTTTCCATACTTCTTCCTTCTTATTCCTTTCTTTTTCTAAACCTATCCACACATATTACTGGAGCTTGGACGTAACAATGCTAATTTACCCGGTTGCGTTTTCAGAACACAGTCTAATTTTAAAATTGGATGTATTTGCTGACTATTATTTTTATGTATCACTTATGTAGGTATATGTTATTATAAATTGACAAACAAGAATTATATTAAAGCGATTAATATTAGAGCATCTATAATTTGTGCTTCTCTCAATTATTGAATCTTTGTCATGTTCTTTTGATAAAATTCGGCGTAAAAACCTCTTGATTTAAATAAAGATTGTTGTACTATTCTGAAGGAGAGGATACTACAAATTGATTACCTACAGCACCATTTACCTACATCATATTCACCGACAGTTCATTTGCGCATAAAAATTATTGCCTACAACTTGATTGTCTATATGCACTATACTGCGCACAAATATAGAATTTAAAAAAAGGTACATTTGCACACGCTATACAATTGCGCAAAAACTGCATTGCACACATAATATTACTGCCCGTATAGGGTAACTCCGGCAAAAACACAAAGTCATCGACGTAAAAAATTCAATGTGAATAAAATTTCATGGACGCTGATAAGCGTCGCTTAGACTCGTATCGACACTTTACAGTCTCCGAAATCTTACCCATATTGATTTTTTTGATGGCTTTGCGTTTTGGCTCTGGAATTCAAACACACACACATCTAATTTAATATATTTTAAAATAAACATTGTTCATTCTCTGTGTTTCTCTCGTTCCTAATTAATTTAAATATATTATTATCACACATTAAGTCTGCTATTTTTATTAAAAGATAAAAATCTCTCTCTCATTTGGATGAAAAAAGTATTTGCGTAAATTAATTCATTAGTATATCACATTTTATGTTAAACTTTTATGTTTTCAGAGAAAATCAATTCTATAATTTTAAATTAAGAAAATTAAATTATATTCCCGAAAAAATTACGACAACACATTTGTTTATTCTTTTTATCGAAATCTGTAAGAGGATAATGATAATAAATTACTTTCTATTTTTTATCGCACGCAAATAAATCTTGTTTTTCAAATTAAAATTTAATATTGATCTAATAATTTATTTTGAATAGAGTAAGTAATCAATAATTCAAATTTTCTTTTAAAGGTAACACTACATAACTTATATATATATTAATTAAAATTTGTTATTAGCAATTAGCTCGTTTAATATTAATTAATAAACTTCGATCGCACATTTTTTAATTTGAGAGCTATTACGATCTCTACATTTTTACATTTTAATTTCAATAATTACGCTAATTAAATATTTCTAAAATATGTTATTAAAATATTGCACGATAATTATAAATGTTTATATAGAAAGAGATTGTAAAACATTATTAATAATTGTTAATATAAATTTCTGCTGAGCTTATTAATAAACAAAGATCTTCAAACATCTTGAATAAACTAGAATTGATGTAATGAAGCTTCGATTCAGAGCTTAAGTTCAAATTCGTCAACGCAGCGCATTGCAATCCGTATTTTCGATGAAACTGGGCGATAAACCGAACTGCAATTTCATGCATACGTCATCAGGAATGGTAGGAATCGTTGACAGTGAGCGTCACGTGCGACGTATGTCGATCGTCGCCGAAATTCTCTCGTTGCTCCTAGACGCCTACAAATCGTTCGTAAATTCCAACAGAGAAGCCGACGTCGGCATTTGCGAATTATACATCGATCGCGATCGATCGGTGATACCAATAAAGACGCTCGCGCTATACAGCTTGTTCTATACAGTATCAATCCAACGAAATTTAGCATTCCGATATACATATATAATATAATTAGAATAGATAGGACAGGAATTTCATGACATCGCGTAACTTTTGTTTAAATATTAATACAAATTATTAACGCATACGATATTGTATTAATTTATGATTACATTTTATTATAAAATTTGCATAAAATACAATATATTATTTGGCTTGAAAAAATCAAATATCTTTATATTGTTAGCCTTTTTCTTTGATATTTAAAATTTAATTTGACAAGAATATTAAATTAAAATTTTATTTAATTTTTTAAATTTTTTCTTTGATTTAAATCTATTTGATTTTTAACAGAAATTTATATTTTTAAATTATCGTATAAAAAAAAAATTAAAATAGAGTCAATTTCGATTCTTAAAGTATAAAATTAGTGGTTTTTGTTTGTCAATTGTAAATTAATCAGTGTAACATCTCCATGACGTCAAAAATATTTCGTTAAAAACGAGATTGTACGCTTCATTGTCCACGTGCTTCCTCAGATGACGATCACACCTGATCGAGCGTATCAATTTTACAGCGAGTCATGGCTCTGCTGAAGAGAAGAACTCTGGGTGGGACTTGATTGTGGCGAGAACCGATCGCATGAAAAGACGAGGGGAAAATGAAAAATGATGGTTCCGAACTTTGTCTTCTTACGCGCGTTCGGATTTTCTGCTTTAAAAGCCGTTAAATATCGAGCGGGGAAAAAAGGAAGTTGCATCAATGATTCAATATTTACGCACAATACCGGTGAAATTGGTTTCAAGAGCCCCACGCGTCAATAGATCCGTAGAAAGGCCCTGAACATTTCCTCATGCACATTTCTCGAGCCGACACCCTCGCATGTGAAAACCATTTGGAACTACGTCATGGAACACATCGAAGAACCCAAGTCTTGTAACAGCATTGCAATTTCTCGCTTCCTATTTCTCGTGAGCTTAAGTAATAGCGTGCAACGGACGAATTTCCGTGACAACAATGTCTATCCATTATCGATCCTGTAAGAATTCTTCGTGGCTGTTCTGATTTATTTGCCATTACACACGTAATAGAGGATAGATTAAATGCTAATAATGACTAACGTGTGTTATTTATATTTTCTCAATATAAGTTTATATATTCGCTTATATATACGAATAAATATTGCAATTAGAGTACGATTTAATAATTATAAAATTAAAATCTGCAATTTAATAAACAAATTAATTTTAATTATTAAATAATTGCATTTATATATTTAATTATATGTTAATTAATTCGAGTAATTATAAATTCTAGATTTTACAATTATTCACTATTCTCTTCAGAAATACGCTTCAACGCATTTTTATCATTACATCGATATTACTAATTACGATAAAATACTTCTCGGTATCGTGTATAGAGAGAGAAAGAGCGTACACACATTAATTTACTAACATTTAATAAATACTTAATGGTGAGAGGCGCAGAGATAATTTATTTAAAGCATAGCAATGCATCATAAAAGCCAGCGTTCTTTTTTACATCTCGGGACATTTCGTATGTCAACGTGAAATAAAACTATAAATGCACATTGCAGACTGTATTCTTATTTAAATACGTTTAGCAACTAAATTATATCGAGGACGTAAGAGTATCTCGTTCGTTCATCGAACAAACTCATAAATTCGGCAGCTTCATTGTCCATCATGTGTTCTTCGAGGATGCGTAAAATCGAGATACGACCGGCTGACTCCTGCAAAAGATACGCAAAGTAATTTTTGTCGCCTGCATGCACGCACGCACGCGTGTATTATGCCGCGGTTATCACGCTGCTGCATGTTTTACCTATTCTTGTTTTTTCCTCTGTTGCTTTTTTTCTTTCTTCTTCGAGGTGCAAATGTGGATTTTATGTCGCGGGTTCGTTGAACCGTCCCTGCCGGACGCGATATACTTGATCGTTAAAATAGAAAATACTCGGCCACCATACAACGTAATGAAGATCACGCGTTATGTACTCTCTTTCTGTCTCTTTTTTTTCTCTGTTAGAGTATTACGGGACACGTGGCAAATGTCCGCGATATTCACACGCGAGATACGAAATGCAGAGACTCGCGAAACAGACTAGATCGAAGATATGCGGATAATAGCCCCTCGAAATGGAACTATTTTACAGAGACTGTCTGGTTGCACCAACAACTTTTATTCTTTGAGATCCTTTATTCATAGAGTTGCTTTGTTCATCGATATCACATTTAGATTTGATATTGTAAATTTTGTTTAATGTAATTATTGATGAAATATAAAGCATAGAAATTATGACTAAAAACAAGTTTTATTAAGTAATATAAAATAAAAAATATCTAATTGCTAAAATATATTGATTATTTATTATTAAAACATAATGTTGGTAAGAGAATTAAGCTCTTATTTGTAACATAATCTCATTCACAGAGAATTGAGGGAAATATGTTAACGAAATTGTCATTCAATTAATGCATTCTTGTGTGATTTGTATTTAGAAACTTTATTCTCTCAAATTTGTGTATGTTAACATTTTTTAAATTAAAATATCTTAACTTATTTTGTTCCTTGCCTACTTCGTGATTTGTTTGATTCTTACTTTTTTTGTTTAAATTTTAAACAAATAGAAATAAGAGTCAAACAATTTTTATATATATTAATGTGAATCTAATTATTCCAGGTTTATTATTTAAAAACAACTTTTTATCTGTTTACCATTAAAGTATCATGTTTTTTAAACTTTTCTGTGAACGAGATTATGTTACAAATAAAAGAGCTTTCTCTTATCGACATCATGTTTTAATAATAA